TTTGAGAGCAGGAAGGCAGAGAACTCAAGTGCCTCATTGCATAGTGTGAAATGAAGTTTGTGGGTGGACTTTTCACAGGGCTGCATTATGCTTTGTCTCCGTGTGACACGCTGGCTAAATGGACAGGACAAGCCTTTGTACTTTTGCAATGTCCCATTGTTATTTGGCACATGAGAGCAGTGCGGTATTGGTGCAGCTGTTCATAAACGGGAGATTGGAAAAGCTAGTCCAGGGCAAACCAGAAAATGCTAAATCATAATTTTGAGTCTGAGTCTTGAAGATGCTTCTGGCACTGTGAAACACTCCCTTTCCTTAAAAACACGATTACCTCTAATCCTTGTTGTGTGACACTGCAGATGGAGACAGTACTGAGCATCTATTAGCAATTCAGATACACAGGGCTGAGACTGAAGTTTTGATCTTTTATGCTCTCCAAGGAAGTCTGAAGAGTATTTTTGGCCTGGGGGTTTTACACAGCCCTATTTTGTGAGAAATGCTGAGCTCCTGTTTCTTTTCTTTCTGCTTTGCTGAGGGTGGGGCTCTGAAAGCCACTGCTGAAAACTTCAGTTGTAGCCTGTCTTTTTGAAGTAGTTGCATTTTAAATACTTTGTGAGCATAAAGTATTATAATTTCCTCTGGAATAACAAGCACTTTTTTTTAACAGTAGCTGAGAGGGGACAAGCTTGCAACACTTCTCACATACCCTCCCCAGCTCCTGCGAAATCTTGTACCCCAGGGTACCAGACCTGTTCTGCACAGCTAACCTGGATGTTAACCATTACTTTTATTTTAGTAAAGGGGGAAAGGTTTGGCCTGAACTGCAGCTTTGGGATGTTGGGATGGAGCTAGGGAGCACCACTTCAGTGGCATTTTAATGCAGATCCTGTGAAGTCTAGATGCTCTTCTGGCAGGTCTGTGATGGTTGGGAAATTGACTTCTCTTGTAAACTGGGATGCTTGTTTTCTGGGCGCTCCCAAGTTTTATCATGGTCGTTGAAATGTAATATACAAGGATCAATCTGTCCTTGCTATTATTTACTCACAGGTGCTTGCTTTAGGAAGCAGCTTTCACAGAACAAGGTGAAAATATCAATTGTCATATTGATCACAGAGAAGGCAATATGTCACATTTCTTCTTCTGAATGCTTACAAATATGGGACTCGTGAGATGGCACTGTGTTGCTCTGGCTATTGCGTAAAAGATTAAAGCTTGGAGCAGTTTGTTTGATTGATTTCAGTGAAGCAGAGTCCTTTGCCAGTGTGTGACTGAGACAAAGGATGATCGTCAGAACATGTTAACCACAGGGGAGCCGGGGGGCAACTTTTGCAGAGGTCACAGAAAAGGGTCTGTCCCAGCTCAATGGGTAAGTGCAGGAGAGAGCAAATGCTGCTTTTACATACCTGAGGTTCTTATTTGTTCACGATGTGACAGTATAAAAGACTATCAAAATGAGTTAATACATTCATTCATGTTTTCCTTGATGAGTCATTTTAAATACTGAAAAGTAATACATTTTCCAACATTAGAATGCTGCATTGGGTTGTCAGTATTCTAGTGTAGTCTTTCATGGTCCAAATGTGGAAGGGGACTACTAGTAGCTTATATGTACATGATACTTTTAAGAAAAATAAGATGAATAAACTCAGAAAAGGATATTGTCAGAATGCATAATATGAAATAGTGCATTACGTTGTCTTGCCATATCATTATTTTCCATTAATGAAAAATTTAAAAAATAAAAATGATGAAATAATCATAGCATGGTAGATCAATAATTATTCTAGAGAATGTGCCCACATCTGTGTATTCTGGCTTGTTTGTTTGTTTGTTTTTGTTATAATCAGAAAATACTGCTCACAACAACTCTGTTGGTCCTTTTACCTCTGCACAGGGTCACCTGGAATGACCCCAGCATTTTCATATGAGCAGCAAAGAGCTGTTCTTTCCAATGTCAGACTTGCTTTCTGGTCCAGCAAGTATGGGAGCAAGTGCTGAGGTCTTATTACTGTGAATTACATATTTATGATTTTTAAAGCACGTCTTTTCAGAAGCAAATTAAACTCCTCGGACAAGATTTGGAAAGTTACTGAGGTACCCAAACTCTAGCTAGGTTATTTATTTATTTATTTATTTAAATAAGGATTAAGACTTCAAGATACATCTGAGGAAGTTAGTATATATTTGCATCTTTGGGCCAAATCTGACCCTGAGTAACTTCTTGAGGATGGGATTTAGGAACCACTTTCGCTCAGAGAGATGTCCTAAAGCATGCATAGATTTTGCTGTGTAAGGCTAAACTTGACAGAAAGCATGTATTTCAGTGTTTTGTTTCATTTGCCTGACAGACTTTGCACCATACTTTGAATTCTGCAGCACGTGTATGGCTGACTGAATTTCAGCACTGCATTTCCTGAATAGGCAGGCTTTTTGCAAAAGATAACAGACTTAACTCGTGGCATCAACGTATGGAAGGAAAGTTTTGTAGAAGCTACCTCACAGCAAGCAGCTCTAGACTCTGTTATGATGTCCTAAGATGTCTGGGATAGCATCTCGGGCTGGCGTGTAAAGCCCTACCTAAGTGCTAAATATTCCAACAACTCCATTGACGTATTTTGTAGAAAAAACAAAAGCAAAGACAGGCTAATTATCTATTGCCTTCTCACTCAGGGGATAGTCAACTTTTTAATGACCAACAAAGTGGGAGTACAGTACGACAGAGCTGTTTTTGCAGTTCTTGGCATTGCCAGAACAAAAGGGTTAGGATTAAGAACAGCCTTAAGGTTCAGCTGTTAAGCAGCAATGGTCTCTACAAAGCTGCTGTTGCAGGATCTCGAAGCAACTGAATTCTTCTAACCTGATGACTGGATTAGGAATGAGAACTAAGGTTCTCTAAGTTTCTACCACTTCAATATAGTTTGGGAATATTTGGAGCTGAATATATTGCAGTCAGGGCTTTGCAGCCACTGTTTCATTGCAGGTGCACACATTGCTAAAAGAAAGTCTGGACCTGGTTAGGAAGCACATTACATCTGCTGACGTGACAATGTGTTTATTAGAATTAATTTTAAACTAATCCTCAACACACGCAGATGTGCAAGCAGTGCCCAAGACCTGTTCAATCCTGCGCTGCATGTGCAGGCAGCGCCCACTGCTCAGCATCTGCCACGTGCAGGGGATCAGCCTGCAGCTGCTTTGACTCGCAGGTAAGGCTGCAGAGTGGGGAGCGTCACCACTGCCGTGCCGCAGCCACGAGCATCTGTCACCTAGCAGGTCCTTCCTCTCCCTCGATCGCAGGAGCCCTGGCTGGGAACGCATGCTTTGGCAATGCGAAGTTGGTGTGATACACAAACGGAGAGCACATGTTCTGTTATAAAGAGTAATTGGATGCGGATTTATCTTTTGAAATCCTGAACTGAGAGTTTTGATTTACATGCATAAATATAATTTGTACTCCAATCCAACACAACACTTAGATGTATGCTTAATTGCAAGTCTCTGAGCCTGGCTGAAGAAGCATGAAGTGGAACACTTGCAAAAGCATTTTTAAGATGATGACCATACCAGTGACAAAAGGGAAGCAGCCTCATGGATGAATACATGGGAATGGTGCTTTCTTTTTTAGGGCAGATTCCCATTGCATTCTTACTAATACAACAACAAACAAAGAAACAAACAAATAGATGGAAATAGAATCTTAAAAAAAAAAAAAAAAGAGAGAGAGAGAAAACTGCCTAGAGTAGAATAAAAATCACAATGGCAGAAAGGTGAACGAAAAGCCTGGTGGTCTTGTGTTCAACAGCCTTCATAACAATACGCATTGTTCTACGGTGGTGTCAGCCACCTGGAGTATTTAGATCAGCAGTCAGGAGATTCATGATCCTGCAAGAAAATTTATAATCATGACAAAAATGGAATGAGATCCCTTCCCCTTCCTTTTTACGTATTTTATCTTGAATTGTACCTTATGTGACAGGACTGCAATTAATATCTCTTGTAAAACAGAAGGCTCATTAAATTGGTCTCATTATGGTTGCTGAGGTTGTGTGACACTGCTGAAAGGGATTCCCCCATTATCTTTGTTTGACACGTATTCCTAATCAACCAGGCCAATTCTGCTTTATCAAAGGGCTGTCACATGAGAGGAGATGATATTTATTCTGACTTGTACTATTAGCGTAAAAAATGTAGATTGCATCGGCAGACACATAACCCTTACAAATGGCCACACAGAGCATTTATTGAGGTGTCCCCTTTCTGCAAAGGTGGTTCTAAGTATAGCCTGCTTCACTTTTCAGTACTGGGGATTCAGGCCTTTTTTTTTTTTTTTTTAAACCCCTATTTTCAAGGGATATTTATGAAATTAAATTGTAATAGACTATGGAGAAATCTCACAGCAAACAAGTGCACAAGGGCAAGAATACCAGCAATTCTGCAATTTCCTCTACCATTTGTTGATGAAAAGAAATCCAGCAGCCCTACATATCCAACTTCAGATACGTATAAGCAATGTGTTGTCCTTTACATTAATTGAGATCTGAATATGTTGCACAATATTACCTCAGTTTTTGAAAATTTCCTGAACATATTTTTTATTATTTCTTACTGATACTGAGTTTGTCAGGGATACAGACATTTTCTCTGTTTATAAAACTGTTCGTAGAAAATTTATGAGCGTTTTAAGGGAGGTGATGGTACCTGAATCTGCTGGGTTTAGAAACATCAATATGCTAATGCAGGGCTTAACAACATCACCATTACAAGGTTTACGCAAATATTTTCATACTGCTACAGCATTGTGTGTTCAAAAGAAATGTATAACTGTAATGCGGCCTCATGTGTTTGTATAAGAAATCACCTCCCCCAAAACCCAAACCAAATGCTTTCTTAGTTAAGTTTAAGAAATATTGGATAACAGGTAAATTCATACAATATGTATAAAACTTATACGAATTCAACAAACCTATTTTGATATTTCATCCTTTTCCTTATACATACATAGCATTCAAAAGGATGGCTCCTTGTCTCCAGTAATACGAAGTAGTTTCTGATTTGAGTGAGAAGATGGAAACTGGGAGGGAAGTTGACAGTGCTCCTGCCAGCTGTTGGAGTGATGCTGCAACACCCCAGCCAGGACTGACTGCTGGAAGAACAACAGAAAAGTGAGTTGTGAGAGTATTATTGGCCATGGAAGTCCTTCTTTGTTGTATAAACTTTTTTTTTTTTTTTTAATGTCAGTATAATTCCTTTTTTAGGTTACCATGGCACTGAGAGAACACTGAACTGCATTTTGAAACAGGCTTCCTGGTCCAGCAGTACTGAATATATGCTGATACCTCAGACAAGGTAAGTAAAGCCGGGAGAAAACAAGAATCCTTCATCCCCAAAGGAGATGGGGGAATGGGGTTGCTTCAGCACTCACTGTCACATGGAGGAGGAAGGTGGGGAGTTGCATGGGTTCTGAGTCTGAACAAAAGCAGGTACTCACCTGTGAGTACTTGGAAGAGGTTTTGCTGGAGGGCCCTTATGAGCACAGCTTGATGCTAGTTCTCTTGGCCTCTCCCTTGGTGCTGATGGCTGTAACTCTGGGTGTCTAGGAAGCAAATGATTTCAGTCACTATTTTGTCCCTTGAAAAGCTTTATCTGATAATCAAATTTATGATTTTCTCAGCAACATAGAAAAGCTTCAGTTGGGACTGTGATTCCTAAACAACCATTTATGTCCTGCAAGAGATGATCTGAGTCTGTTGATGTCAAAAGATCGGGCCCTTATTTCCTGATGAGAAGAGGGGAACTTTCTTTTTTCTTCTCTTTTCCCCTTCCAAGATAGAAAGCTCTTCATTGTTTCTTTGATCCCACACAGAACGATGGAGGAATAGCTGTATCTTACAACTAAAACTCTTAAGTAAATGGTTATTTTAACAACAGATCATATACTACAACATTTGTGATATATGGTGGATTGAGGGATGCTATGAAAACATACTCAGCTAATGTGACTGAAGGGTGTCTCTGGGGAGAAAAGAGATTTTGTCAGGAGCTGTCAAATATGATCTAGGTGTATCTTCCAAATAAAGAATCCTTGAAGCTGAAGTTGTTGGCAGGCCAATGAGGGAAGGATGGCCCTAAACATGCAGTTTCATATGAATCTCTGTAAAAAAAATTGCCTGCGGGTGCTTATTGTGAGAGACAGATCATCGGACTAGGCAGATTGCTCTTATGTGCTATGTGTAGAACATTCAAACATCAGATAGAGATATCATATGCTAGATCAGTCAATCACAGCTTGAAAATTAATCACACATTTTAGCCGAAATATACAACACAGGTGCAGCTAAAAGTGAAATGATGTTTCTGATCACGGAGATAATACTTTCTCTTTTGCAGACACATCTTCCCTGAGCTCCCAGTGTTGTGTGTACTTTTCGCACTGGATGACTTGGTGCATAATTAATGAATTTAGCATAATGCCGTGTTTGTTTATTCATATCTACTTCAGATTTATTAGATAGAATATCCTGAAAGTCAGTGTTGTGAATCAGAAAGCATGAAGCTAGTCTTTTGATGAATAATTTGTTGAGAAGTTGATGCTTTTGTAGACGTAAATCATCAGCTAAATAAGCATGACTGTTGGGAAGCAGCCTCTACATCCTGAGATTTAACTAGTCCCCTTCCCACAAAGGTCCTGCAGGCCTTCTGGAGCTGCTGCCTTGTCAGCTGCATAGTGGCAGCTGGTGGCACTTTGGGCTAGCAAGAAGTCCCCAGTCATTGCTGTGCTGGGAACAGTTGGCAGCTGCAGCTTGCTTTGTGTGGGGCAGTTGCTCCTGGCTTTGGCAGGGTTCATAGCCAGACCTCTCTTTCGTTATTTCCAGTACTCAGAAAAGATGACACCTACAAGAGATGCAGTTTGAGTGGATTATGAGAGTACAACTCCACTTATGTTTTCAAATTTTCATTTATTTTTATTGCAGAATGTATTATCTCAATCACTGCAAGTGTTGGCAGGAGGGAGGCAAAAACAGGGATGTTTTTCCCCACACCAAGTACATCTTTCCCTCTTTGGTGCACTGAGGTCTCAAAAGGAAATTCCAGCAATTGATAAGGATAGGGAATAACTCAGTTAACAGAGCTGAGTGGGTAAATGTTTGGGCACGTAGTGAATGTAGGAACAGTCTGATACAAGAAGCTGATGTTCTGTAGGAACTTCTGGACATAATTAACAAGCAACAGAGGCTGAATTCTTTTCTCTGAGTCCTCCTAATCTGGAAGAAAGAATGGAAAGAAAAACCTTGCATATACAGAGCTCAGAGTTTTGTGTTACCCCAAAACAGTGTAGTTGCAAACATAGTTTGAAGTGGCTAGAACAAGGCTGGACCTTTAAAAAGTCTTTAAAAGTCTTTAAGAGATCTGGAAAAACAGAGAAACAGAAGTGAAGATCTCTGTTTGCACTGAGAGCTGATTTCTCAAGGTTAGTGATACCAGGGTCAGTTTTGACGGATTGTGGGAGACTCTTGTTGTTGTTGTTGTTTGCTTGTTTGTCTGTTTTGGTTTTGCTTTTTAATAATTGCACACAGAAATCTCAGCATTTTGTCAGAAGAATAGAATAAAATCAAAGTGCATTGGTTTGTCTGATTAAAAAAAAATAAAATACTGGGATGAAATATTTGTGTTGTGAATGTTAGTCTGTAGAGGTCAGGCTGGAGTTTTGCCAGAAAATGTGACTTCGGGGAATTCTGTGGAAATTTCAATAGATTATAAACTGAAGCTGTCTGGCAAAAGGTATGAAATTCAATGTTCTTGTCTTCTGAAATAGTCTTGTTTGAGAAATATTACAGATGTATGAATAATTCCAGTGCAGGGAGTGGGAGAGGAGTTCCTGTCCTTCCTTTAATCTTGCTATAATCTCCTTCTGACCAGTCTCATCTGAGAATCATGATTTCTAACTGCACCCAGCAAAAGAGAGAATTGTTTCTTTTTGCTTTAAATTAAAAACTTATTGTGGGGTTTTAGAAATAAATGTCCTTATGCAATGTGGCAGTGCTAGTGGACGTAAAATTTTCAAAGGAAATCAAGCCAGTGTTAATCAGTTCAGTTACTAAAAGAGCATGCAGATATGATGCTCTTTATATGGGAAAATATATGTATGTACATATATGTATACCCTCTACTTTGTGTTTATTTTAGGAAGGAGGACTCAAAAAATTAGAATCCAATTCAGCATATTATCTGCATATTCACAGGTATATATGTACATAGTTGGCTAACTGCAAAATTGATAGCTGTCCCAGAAACATCCTTACGCTTATATCACAAAGGTCTTCTGTTTAGTTCCTTATACATAAGGAAAAATAGAATTGGTTCCCATGTGAATAGGATAAGAAAACGGGATGCACGTGTGTGTGAAGTTAAAGGTGTAGGTGCTGAAAGTACTGCAGCTTGTGTTAATAAAAATTGCAGATTTGATAATTTTCAATCACTTTCTCATTCAAAATGGTTGATGAATGGCTTTCTATTCTTGCTTGGAAATATATTTTATATTACAGCTTATACAGTATTTGAGACTGCACAAAGCATACAATTCTTATTTGTAGAGCAAATAGAACAAGCTATTAAGCTAGAAAACTACTCTATGTCTGCCTGAGTCTTCTCCCAGTTTCTCTAAGTTACTACAGACAGCTAGAAATGCCTTCCTTTTTTGTACCTACATACAATGCCTATCTTGTATCTGTACTTTCTATCCTCTAGATAATACTACATTAAAACTGTGAAAGTTAAAGGTGATTTTGGCAATGTATCAAGGTTATTTCAGAATAACCTTGTTCTTAATTTCCTATTAATAGGTAGTATTTTTATAAATTATTTTTTCTGGCAATCATTATTCATCAAAAAGATTTTTTTGTGTGTGTTTCTCCAAATGGGTAGCTCAGTGCCTTTTTATTAGCTCTAAGCCTCAACTTCAGCAAGTGTGTGATCAAGTGTACCGGAAAAATCCTTTGTCCATTGCTAAACCTTATGAAATTGTAGATCAAAAGAATTTTCGTATCTTACAAGGACTGTGGTACTATTCATGGGCTAAAAATGACTGTCAAAGTAATAAAACAACTACTGTTGTCAGGGAAAGATTAAAAGCAGCAGCTGGATTGTACACAGACAACTTTAAAATCTTTCTCTAGGAAGGTAGATGCTTTAGAAAATGATCTGGCTTTTCAGTTGATTTGCCATGATTGGCAGCCCCATAAAATGGCTACTGACACAGGAACTTGCAAAAGAAAGAAGCCTTTTTTCACCATAAAGAGAATATTCTGCTTCTTGCCTTCTTCCAAATTGGACTCCGCACTTGGAAGTAAGATGTAATGCAAGTGTCATAGCAGTGATGGGTATCAGCCTTTTCCTGTGTTTTATCCAATTTATCCAAACTCTTTTTCTGAAATAATTCCTGCTGTCACTTTTCTGCAGCTTGTATTTTAACCTATGTTCTTCTTACTATTTTAGTTTTATTCCTCGAGTTTAGCTGTACGTTTTGCAGTTCTCCTTAAATTCACTACATGCAACATTGCTTTCCCTGTAGTTTTTCTCAGATCATAATCATCCTTACCACTACTAAGTACATATAATCACTATTATAATTAAATGTTTCTTTCTGATATCAAGAACTGCATTTTTTTTAATTATCTCCAGTCTTCTAGCCAACCTGCTTCTCAGATTTGCATGTGTGCAATCTTTGAAACTTTATTTATGGAAGGTCAGTGTGTTGGCTTCTTTTAATTAATTCCTTTCTTTCCATTTTAGTTATCTTCCCTGTTTCTTTTTTATTCTGTTGAATAAAGTAGTTATCTTTCTGTGTGTTTATCACAAGATTGGGTCATCTTCCTTGCACTTGCTGATTTTTCCAAGGTTGTCATTCTCTCTGGGGTTTTCTTTCCCTACACTTCTTTTTTGATTTATATTTACTCTATTAACCTGTTCTATCAAATATTTATGACTACATAACTGGTTACCTCGGAGGGCAGTTTATTTTTCTTTCATCCTGACAGCACCATACACTGCTGGAAATCAACTAAATTGTTTGCCAACCATTTTCTTCCCATTGGCTTCTGATTTTGGCCCTCCAGATAGACCTCCTTGTATGTCAGATTGTAATACTGGGCTCCACGTTCCCCTGTAAACATACCTGTATCTCTCCTCACCTCTGCTTAGCTGGTTTAACAAATACAAGACCTGTTTGCCTGTGCTGTTTTCTTTTAAGGTTCTGTGCAGTGGAGTTATGAATTGGACAGCTTTGTTCCACGGTGCCTTTTTTTTTTTCCATGCAATGGTCTTAAAACATGCATGTGTTTGGCTTTTGTGGGTATAAGAATGCATGTGTTTCATAATTTGTCACAGCTCGAGGCCATTAGCAGTGGCAGAGCCAGGCCTGTAATGTGCCCAGTTCATAAACATGTACACACTCTTCTTGCCCATTCAGATGCTGGGCTTGGAACATGCTGCCCTGCACTTATCAGGTAACATCAGCAGTGTTCTTCTGTGCTGAGGATGGAAAACATCCGCTGGCAGTCAGAAGTTTCTGTCCCTTCTGATCTTTTTGAGTGTCCTGCCTGAAAAACACAAGCTCTTACAATAGATGATGATTGACCTGATTCAGAAGGAGCAGTGTGCGGAAGAGTTGCTGAGTAGGGAAGGTGCCAGGTGCTGCTGCTGGTGTGGTGACAAACAATGTGGTCGGTCCATCTGTCCCCCCCCCTGCTTGCAAACTCCTTTTGCTCAAATTTGTAAGCACCACTGTCTCAATGCCTTCAGCTTCTCTGTGGGCTCTAGCACTAACAGCAGCACCAAACCTCACCCTTGCTGACCACAGACCTAGAAAAAGGACAATGTCTGATTTCTTCATTTTTTTCAAATCTCTCTGAAGGAGAAATACAGATAAAAGCATAGCTCTGTGACTGATTTTTTCACTATCTACTTGAAAGACAGTGGGTCAGAATTAAGGCATTTTTGCTGCGGAGGAAATGTGTGGGATGTTGGCTGTGAGCCAGTAGCCACTAACATCCCTGCTGCACTAGGAATACTTGAATGAAGTGGGCGTCAACCTCGGGAGAGCGGGCAGCGCTACCTACATCAGAGAAAAACCTCTTCATTGAGATTCAAGGAGTAAAAATATTGAATGGAGATAAACCGGTCTGTTGGATTTTTTTTTTTTTTTTTTTTTTTTTTTTTGTATGAGGAACAGTAAAAATGCAAGAATCATGATCCAGTCTGGAAGAACATCCCCTAAGGTTCTGTGCCTGTTGTGTCCCATTCATTCCCCAGAAAATGAGATACATGCAGTCCTTGACTACCCTGACTTGTAAGTTTCATCTTTTAGTTCTGGCTTCTCAACACACAGGATGAGGAAATAACATCCAGAAACTTTCACCCTGTAGTCCTCTTTACAGTCAGGCTTTTAGTGCTTTTTTTTTTTTGTTTTCTTCCCCCAAAAACAGAATAAAGATCTGAAGGATATCAAATGATTTTTTTTTTTTTTTAATAGAATATAGTTTATCCAGACACTCATCCTGCTTATGTCCAGTTGAATGTCCACTGGGGAAAAAAGTCATCTCTAGAGTTTCTTCTTACCACTGAATTATGAATCTGGAGGATGAAACAATTTTTCTTCAATGTTATCTTTCTTCTTGTAATCAGCCTCAGATGAGAGTTACGCCATCTCGCAACCTTGGTACTACTGAGTCAGTTACCAGCTCTATCCAGTCTAAATATGATCACATTTTTCTTGAATGAAGTCCATCATCGGAGCATCATGCCTGTGAAAGAGTTTTTCTTTTCAGTTTGAATATATGAAACATAAGCAGCAGATTTTTTGTCTGAAACTCCAGAACCATGCTGTTCTTCGTGTACATAAGGGAAGGATTCCCATTTTTTGTGTTGTATTATTAGAAAGTGATACATTCATTTTGTCGAACAAGGGGAATGGACAATGATACAAAAAAAGGAAGTGTTTTGCCTGAGTGTTAGGACTGAATGAAGGAAGTGGCCGTAAAAAGATGGACTGGGGAGAGTAGAGTATCACAAATACTTTAAAAAGCTCTTCTTGCATGGGAAACAGAGGGTTGCTGCACAAGTGACAGTTGCTTCCATATAAGACTAGAGGGGTACATGGTAACAATGGTTTCGTTTTTGGATGTAGTTTTGCTCAAGCATGTTTGGTCATATAACACTGAGGTTAGAGAAAGCTAGAGGGTAAGAGATGCAAAGAGCTAACAAGCATGGATGCAAAAAGTGAATCTGAGCAGGATTTGGGAAAACTAAACCCCTAAAGTGGAGCATGTCTATCAAAGCAAACAAGCTAATAATTGGCTTTGCTTTTATTACAGATAATATCTTTGTGCTGACAATTTGCCTCTCAGATTCTGGGCTTGGATATGACCTGTAACAGTGTGGCCTCAGTGTTAAAAAGTGTTTGTGGACAATTGGTCTTCAGTGTCCTGTCTCTGGGGCAAAAAACATTGAAGCAACTAAATGCTGCCAACCCCTTGCCTTTCCTTTCCCTCCCATGCTCAGACTTGAAATCCAGAGCCTCAGAGAGCTGTGGTAATGCACTGGTGGCCAGGAGTCAGAAACAGTCATAGTCCCAGGACGCACCAGTGCCAGAGGCTGTGTAAGCACAGCGCGTACGTGGCTGCTACTTGAGAGGGATCCATCCACGGAACTGTGGGGGTAACAAAGGTAGGCTGGCAGTGAAGGGCAAGGGCACAGTGAGGCGGTGTTTATCAGGGTGAAGGGCAGTGGCCTTCACTCACGCTGTTGCCATAGGTGGCACGTTTCTTTATGTAGACTTTCCAGCAAGGAGTTTCCAGAAGGCAATAAACTTGTCTTACATATCCTTTCAGGGGACTGCTACCACTGTGGGAGGCAGCATGAAACAGTGGCTTGATGCTGCATAGGAACAAGAGGAAAGTTGGCATTAGTGGCCAGGCAGAGGCAGCGGGTTATTCTGTCACAGGAAGCGATGAGAGAGGATGGAGACTGTGCACACCTTGCATCTGAAAGTGGCACGCGTTACAGAGGGAGGCTAAAGGAGGGTGGCAACAGGAAGGAGATGCAGGCAAATCAGTTGCAGGCAAGGCTTAATTCTCCAGGCTAGGGAAGCGCATGCTGTAGTAACTGAAACAGGTGATGGGAACATAGACAAAAGATTATCTGTGAGAAGGCACCAAAGATCAGCAGGCCTTTAACAGCATGGGATTGAATGGAAGGGCTTAGAGGGATTCGCATCAGAAATGTTTAGAAATGTTCTCAACATGGAGGATAAATGCTGATCAGGAAGAAGAAGAAGTAAGAAGGCTGATGAGGTGGGAGGTGATACTAGTTTTACTGTTGTTCTGTGTGAAGGGTTAGCCTTTAAGAGATGTGAGCTGAAACATAAGGTTCCTTGGCACTTTCTGGTTCACCTTCGTTGTTCACGTGGTGGGGAGAGAAGGAAGGATGCAATACTGGAAGATGCTTAGATTCTTCATCAAGAAAAATGGTCTGAGAGGCTAAATATTCAGGAAAGTGGAAGAAAAGAACATAACTATATCATTGTCTTCTGGTACTATGAAGAACCTTTCTTTTTCTGATATCCTTGGGTAGCAAGCAGCAAATTAGCAAATCCTCAAAACGAATTTTGAAAGTAACCACACTTTCTGCTCTGAGAGAGAAGTTTAAAATGTCTAACATAGTTTTGTGAGGAAGAGGAAAATGTGCCGGAGGGCTGAGAGTTCTTAAGACCAAGTTATAAGCCTTTGAAAATAGGATTTTATAATGGAAAAGCAGAGATCATTAACTATTGTAAGCACCTCTAAGAATGACACCTCTATAGTAAATTACATTCAAATTAATATAAAACTGTAAAGATTCCCTGACAGCTTTGATTATGTAAGTTGATTTTAGTAGTTAAATGTTGACTTTCTATAATGCATTCTCCAAATATTATACTGAATGCTGCATCATATATAACAATTACCATGTCACAGTGCTATTTTGTGTAAATTAAATTATTGACAGCAATATAATTTTGTATTCACTTTATTATTTTGATTCATTTTTCTGTCAAAATATACAATGACTCTTCACTAGATTTAGAAACCAGAAAAACTCTTTAGATGGTGAAGTATTATTCTCCATACATTATTTTTCCTTAGCCTGTAATGAGGTTGGAGAGGTGGGGGGGAGAGAAGCACCATTTCATTCCTTCTCTGACATTGTGTGTGTTTTTTAGACATGTTCTCAACTTTAAGTTGTGTTACAATAGGTGTGCTTTCCAGAAAGCCTGCAAAGTCCAGAGCAGCCCTGGTCAGCTCCTCCAGGGCTGCAGTCGTGGTGGTTTTAGTGGTGCACTAACACAAGCACTGTCCTGAGTTGTGGGATGGGTTTCTTAATATGATGATTATTCAGCTTAGCTGTAAGGAAGGTCCGTTGTACATGACAGGGGGAATACTTCCTGTTCTTTGATATTTCTTATAGATAGAAGTAAAAATCAACACCTGTTCATTGCTGCTCTTTCTTCACACCTTTTCTTCCCAGGTTCTTCAAGGGTTAAGTCAACAGTGATTGTCCCTTCCAGGATGCCTGTAAAGTATTTGCTGGTGGTGGTTGTAATCGTTCTGTCCAAACGCACAGCCTGTCAGCTTCCCATGACCTGCTCGGAGCTAGAGTGTGGAAATCAGGACACCAGCTGCATATTCCTACTGGACCTTGGCTCTTCTTCAGGTAGGTGCCCTGATCTTCCTTGTGGAGCCAGTCCTGCTCCCATAAGTTTGCCAGTGCCATCCTGTGAGATGGAAGAAATGGGCTCAGATGCATTCAGGCAGAAAAGGGGGCTGAATCCACAATGTCACACTCTGTGGGCAAGGGTAGCTAACTACAGGTAGAAAAAAAAAACTAACCTCTGTTCTGAGTGGTGGTAGAAAGGTTCAGAAAATGTTTATCTTCTCAGCTGGTCCAGATCAAGGATGTTGGAGAAAGCCTATGTTGCAAATCTCAGTGGGGTTCAGTCGTGGCTTAGGTGCTGACAATCCTTAGTCCCATCTGCATCTGCTCAGTAATAAAAAAAAAAAAAAAAAAAGGTATTTTGACACTGATGAGAGCGCTGGAAAAAGTTTCTGGTGCCTGGTCCAGTGAGGTCTGTGTAGCTGTGGGCTAGCTCCTTCTTCAGTAGGCTGGCCAGGTCTGCAGCCCATATAGTGCTCTGGGAGCCCTAAAAGTCAGTATTATTTTCCAGAGGCTCTTTCAAGTTGTCTTACTCAGCTGTGCTGAGCATGTGGAGTTGAGGAGGCAGAGAGGAAAGCTGCAGGCTTTCAGTATGGTGAGGATGAGACAGCCCATGAGAAGGTAACAGGAGAAGGCTAAATCACCTGAGTTCACCGTGGACTTAGCAGTGTTCTCTAAATACCTGAAAGTTCACTTGTGTCTGTAAAGCTGGGGTTAGGAACATAGAGAAAATATATCTGCTTTCCATGGCAGCACAAAATTGCAAAAACTCATCCGATACTGATGAAATAACACTTAGCCATTGCACTTTCATTTAATGGAGTATGAGATATTGCTATATTCCTATGTCTGCAGCATACACCAAATTTTTCTGTGCTCAGTTTTAAGGGAGTGAAGCCCAAAGAGACACTTGGCAGTCTCTGGGAATTAGAGTAGTGCTGAAAGTAAATGTCACTTCTTATCCTTATCTTCCTTCTTCTCCTTGCTTTGCCTCCACTTGGTATGGCACATACAAGATTTGTAGTGTGGTGGTAGTAGTATGTGTGGAGCTGGCAAAAGGCCTGTTTGCTCAAAGACGGAGATGCTTTTATATTAGATGATCTGGTAGAAAAACATTATAACTCAGCCAAGCCTGCCCTCCTAAGGCATTGGTATTGATGCATATTCTGTTGGCAAAATGAATGTATTAACAATTATTGCAGAGACAACTGTGAAAGCCCCACATTAGCCCCGCATTATGTTTTGTGTTAACTGGTTTTATAAAGTCCCAGGAAGTCCTTAATGGATGGAAGGATCATTTCCTTTTAGCTTTAGCAGCCTTCCTGCCTTTGATTTTTTTTTAACTTGCAACTAAGGATCTTTTTCCCTACATCTTTCTGCATATAATTTCACGCATCTTTCTTTGTATGAAACAGTTTCACACACAACCACGTGTACAGCAGTATGGTTTTAATAGAACCTGCTTCATTTGAGAGCAGACAAATAGACTTGGGTCGTCTTTTGGCACAGGCACAAAATGCAAAGCTCTAATGCTGAATTTCTCATTTGGCCTCAATTCTTGTTTGGTTTGCCAATGTGGGAGTTAATCGTATAAACACAGAAATACAGAGGACAGGGGGAAATACGTTCTGTTTTGTCCCGTTCATGTAGCTCTGGTTCTCACTGGCTATGCTAATGCATTGCTTGCAGCAGTTCAAATGGCTGTGGTGATGAGGAACAGGTGGTGATGAGGAGTTAATGCGAGAGGACATGGAGAAATCATGTTGCTTGATAGGAAGTTGTTCCTCCCAGCATATTTCTGTCCTAGCCCATTCAAGTGGGACTCTATAACAGTATCCTGTGACTACACCAGAAGATACAACTGCACTGAGTTCAAGTGCTAAACAAGTATATATCCTGTTTCAGCTAATTCCAGCATCTGAGATTTTAGGTGGCAGTCATTCCCCTTGATGTACGAGTGCCCAGACACTGTGAAGATGAGCTTGTTAGGACCTCGTGCTGCTAACCTGGAAAGAGGATTTAAAACTAAAACAGAGCAAACAGAAACTCATAACTAGTTAAGTTATCCTGAGAGTAAGGAAAGACAAACCTGCTGGGCAGGTATTCCCTAACAATGTCATTTTGACATTACTAGCCTGCCTTCTCCTCGATGTATCCTCTATTTGTTCAAAGCAAATCATCTGCTCCTCTCAGTTATTTCAAAGTAAAGTCACAAGAATAGCTTGTTCCCACTCTATTCCAAATATAGCTGTTGGCAGCAATTGCTGAGATAAGGGGGAAGGAAAAGGAACTACCAAGGAAGAGGAAAGACAGGAGGGGGAAGAGAGAAAAGAGCTGAAAAGGTTGGACAATAAAGAGTAAAGAGAGACAGATGAATGAGAGGGGAGGTGAAAGAATAAGGAAAATACATCTCAGCAGAGAAAATAAATCAAAGATAGAAATAAACTCCTGCAAAAGAGGTGGAAGCAGCCCAAATACAGAATGAAAAAGCACCATGCCCACCCTCAGGAGCAGTTTGAGTTTTAGCCTTGAAAAGTAACCAAACCTTAAATAAAAACATGCCCAATTTTGACTTGCACTCAGATTGTAAGGGTTAGAGCATCAGAAAACTTATGCTAATTTACACTGCTTGAAGATCTGGTCCTAGAAATTTTAAAGCAAAACATGTTGCTTATTTTAATCTCTCGTGGGATTTTTTTAAAATTGTCTGCTCCAATAAACTTTGTTGGCAGTTTCAGACAGAAAACCATCCAGTGGGTACAATTGCTGGCACTGAACCTCAGCATCCTTCTCAGGAGTTCGCAGTCTTCTGGTGAGACTCGAGCATCTAGCCATGCCCTTGGGAGCAGAAAACAAATGATGATAAGAAATAAGGAAAAGTCAAAACCACCCTCAGACTGGCTTACCTAGAGCAAAGAGCTGAGGGGTTTCCAGGCTCAGGGTAGACTGGTTTAAGACCGAGGCATGGAGAAATGAGACGTAAATGGGAACAGGTTGTGAAAAACAGCACACAGACGGGGCAAACACAGACGAGTCCTTGGCAATCCAGAAATCCCACGAGTGGCTCCAACTTCCCTGCAGGGGTGGGAAGCTTCTGAGAAATACCCCCCGGAGCTCTTCTGCTTCTCGTCTCAGAAGACTGGATGGAAAATGGTGCTGGGGTTCTGCTTTCTCTCCTGGTCTGCCGCAGAGATGCGATATGTAACCTTACTTTCTAGCTGAGGGTAAAAAGCCTTACTCAGTCCTGAAGGTGGTGTTTCCTCTGAACTGAGCACATCTGGAAAGCCTTCTGGACAAGCTTTTTAAGTACTCAGGCACTAGGTAATGGAACCAACATTACTGAAAGTGTGACACTTGCTATGCTTATATTTCAGTCCTTCAAAGAAGAAGGCCATTTGCATTGTTAAAGGATGTGCTCAATCTGTCTCACTCTGGGCTAGAGGACAGGTGCAGCTTTTGGACAAAAGTTATTCACACAAAGTGCGGGAGATGCATTAGAGCAGGAAATATAAGGTTAAGCGAAGCTGCTTTTGGAAGAAAGGGCTGCAAAGTAAAGCTGAGCAGTCAGACTATCACTATTCAGAAACAAAGTCATTATTTTGAGTCTTGTCACATGGGTGGTGTATGTATGAGTTATATCTGAGTTACTCTCCCTGTTGTGAAATATAACTTTTTTTTTTTTTCTTTTCCAGCAAGCATCACGCAGAGCTGTTATTTTACCCAGTCAGCTTATACACATGTGGAGGAGCTGCTGACTTCGGTCACGGAGCTGTGTGCAGCTTGCAGGCCACCTGGGATGCTTCTGGGCCAGATCGGGTGGTGTGACTGGCCACAGGTCCAGGTTGGTGCTGGGCTCCTGGGCAGCAAGAGACCCTGTGGGCGGCAGTGAGCGGGAGCGCCTGGCTGGGCTGCCCAAGCCTCCCAGCCCCACACGAGAGGGTGTTGGAGGGCTTTTTGGCTGGGATGCCTCCTTCATGGCTCACTCCCAGTGCCTCTCTGCGTTATGTGGTGTCTAACCTTAATGCTCCGGGGAGATGGGCGTCATCACAGCCTGTGGGATTGCAGCCATCAGGCAACCTTGCTGCCCTGGCCTGGGATCTGGGACCCACCAAGGCTCTGCATTTGTGTCTCTACAGGTGGCACATCCACGGTGAAAAGCTTCAGAGAGATCCCGGGCGCTGAAACACCAGGAGCACCCAGCCCAGCGCGCAGCTTTCTGCTCTGCGGGCCGAGTCCTCTCCGGCTCCCGAGCGCCTGCTCCCAGGAGAGGGCAGTGGAGCCGCACACGCTCCCGTGCTGCGGCCGGCGGCAGGGCCGGCTCCCTCGGGTGCTGGGCGAGGAGAGGAACGGGGCAGCAGAGGTAGGAGTACAGATTTAATACGTATGCTAGGAAGCTTGTACAGGAATATTCAGGAAGTGTTCCACGCATTCAATAACGAGAATGAGTTGTCTGTAAACAAAAATAGATTTGGGGTGACCGAGTTTGTTGTTGCTTTTATTTGACTGGAAGTTTTCTCTGTTATATGTATTTGTTTACGGCCACACACATTTATACCAGTAACTTGCTGATTCCGCTCAAGCTTAACTTCTGTAGCCTGAATTAGAAAATGTTATTGACATTTAAAGAACCCCTCAGGATGCTGCTACAGCTCTCCCGAGCCAACTCCTCACAATACAGTCGTTTACTTATTTCAAATTTACAGGCATTCACGCTAAGACAACAAGAAGCCTTGGTTGAAAACCGCAGAGTGTGGTTTTAAGGTACCATAATTAAGGGCAGACTGGGATGCCTTCTCCTCTACTCTCTAACCACCCACCTACCCTTAGCATGCGAGCAGTCAGGCAGCTGTTTCCTGTAGGTTTGTGTTTACACCAGGTTTCCCTGGCTGGGTACTGGCTTTCAGTGACCAGACAGTAAAGGCTGAGAGCCTGCAGCAGGTCTGTGAGGGAATGGCAGGTTAGATTTAAGGGAAGTGGCTTTTGACTGCAGCCTGGGAATCCAGCAGACACCCCTGGCAAAACACAAGGCATTAGTAAACAAGTATTTCTTCCTGTGAGGACATGCCAGGTCTCTCTACTTTCAATGAAAAAGGGCAAATTTATGGAACTCTGAAATACGGCTTCGGAGATGAGAACTTCTCTTTTATGTGAAATGTGTAAACAAACCAACCCCAATCCCCCGCAACAAAAAGCACCCACAAACCACACCCTGAATCTAGCACAGGCTTAGGACCAACTTTCCTTGCTGTCATCAGAAGACAGGGTCACTTACCTCTGATCCAGGAGCAAGGCCCAGCTCCCGGCTGAGCTGGGGTAACACTGTCCCCAAAAGCAGCGAGGTGCATAGTGGAAGCGTGAGGGTGTGTTTCCCAAGCAGACCTACTGGTATCACTGCTGTTAGCACATGAGGTCGGTCGAGTTTTGCTATGAAAACATAGTAACCCCCCTGGAGCAACTCAGAAGTGTGATGTTAAGCGGGTTAAATGGTGCTGCCAGCTCCTGCAGATGATGAGTTGCCTTTTCTTCCTCAGCCCTCTTAAATTCAGGTGCAACGTTACTTCTGCAGCTCCTATCTCAGGTGCTCACAGTAGAGAATGACTGCAGGAAAATACCCAGTGCAGCACCAGCTAGCACCTTGTTAAAAGAGCAAGTAAAATAAATCCAAGGGCAAAGAAACTGGGAGTGAAAGAGAAGTTCAGCCCTTCAGCTCTGAACTCTGCACTCAGGCAGCACCATAGCCGGTCAGACATGTCACACCGGTAAGGGGAGAAGGCAGGACCACTCCGTGTAAGAGTAAATCTTCTGTCCTTGGGAGAATCCCAACGTGCAAGGTACCCAGTACAAAGCTAGCATGCGTTTCTGTGTTCATTTCCGATTCACTTCTGAATCATCTGAAATCAATCAGTGAAAATACCCTGAATGGGTTCAGGGTGGGTTGCAAATTGGGTAGTTTTGCCTTTGGAAGCTGCAGAGTCCAGGGAGAAGCCAGATACTTGCACGCATACGGGGCCACTGAAGCACAGCTCCTCTCGTGGTGTGAGTGGGGCTTTGGCAATTTACACCAACAATCTGTCCGTCATATGAGACCACGTGGTTTATAGGAACCACAGGAATCAGTAGGATTTTTTGCGTGTAAGGCTCATTGACGTCAGTACGAGTTGGACGGTCTAACCCTGGATGCTAGTTTAATCAGCCAAATGAGGATCAAAGGCACAAAACACATGCAGAGCTCTACAGCACGAATATCTGAAAAGGGACCAGAACCATTCAAGTTTAATCTGTCAATGTCTTCCTGAAGACCAAGCATTAACTATGTTTCCATCTTGCCCTGCACCAGATCCTGACGCCCTTCAGACAAAGCTCCCATTGAGTGTGACTTGATTGTCTACGTAGAGGCTGGAAATCAGGCACAATTTACCTCATCCTTAAGAAAGCTTTTAAAATTAACCAACAAAGTCGAAAGCTTTTAAAATTAACCAACAAAGTCAAATAACAGCAGTATTCCTTATGTGAAGTTAGCCAGGAGGTCTGTTAAAGTGTATTCGTGTCAGTCTTTCACAGAATCCTCTGTCACAGCAGAATAATGTTAAAGTTGCCGAGTTGGTTCAAAGGTGGAATTGAGATATGGGGATGTGAAACTCTGCTTCTTCTCTCTTTCATGTGCTTTATGATTTAGTGTCATCAGTGGGTGCATGGTATTTCAAAATAATATAGGAAGATACTGTCGAATATCACTTAAACCCGTATCTGACACATGCACGACGTTTTTTAGGAAGGAGGATACTCTACTTAGAGTTACCCATTTCTCAAATTCATGTAAAGTAACTTGCCCCACTGCACAACAGATTCCAATATTTTGTTCTTTCATAGTAGTGATGAGACCAATTATAGCTCCGCTGTAATGGGAAGGTACAATACAATTGCTCCTACTTCTCAGTCAAATTTCCCAGAACCTGTCTCTCTCTTTCTGTCTCTCTGTCACAATTTAACTTTTAAATTGAGATTATTTTTTTTTTAAACCAAAATATCTAGGATCCTACTGAAATTGAACACGAGCTTTCTTTCAACTAAGTCTCACATGCCAAACTGTATTGGCTGTACATTAAGTGCTAGAAAGAAATGGTAAAAAAAAATAAAAATAATAAAAAAAATCTTACTATATGTTAAAAAACAGTAAGTGCATATATTTCCTAATTACTGCGTGCACTTCCCAGATCACCCATAAGGGAAAATATCTAGATTTGTGCCTGCCGTTCCTTAGAAAGCATGACAAATGCCCCTGACAATTTTACTTTTTTAGGTATGCTCCTGTCTAGCCTGGGTTCTGCACTGACTGGAGGAGCAGTGAAACAAAAACTGAGCAAGTGAGAGAGCCTTTCTCAGCTGGTGTAAGGTGTTGCACGGGTGGAGAGGAGCCTGCGAGACGCGACCTAACAGCATTTGGGACCCAACACAGAGGTAAGTCCACGTGGCACGTGACTTGATGTCCTAAAACCTGTGAATGTTGGTATCTAGAGTTAAAACTGAAAGATGAGGATGTTGTAGCCTTCCTGTATATGCTGGTTTGTTGCTTTGGAGCAGGAGTGTGCTGTTGTAGCATCTCTCAGGCGTTGCCGTGTCTTGCTGCTGCTTGGGTTGTCGATTTTTTTTTCCCCCCTGTATGCCACCTGTATGCCACTGAGTAGGGGCCTTGCACGCTACAGATCGTGTGAGAGTTGCTTTCCTAAAAGCAGGAATAAACAGTCATGAGATGAAATATTCCAAAGTAATGAGATGAGTGACACAAACATAACATGGGCTCCAGCTTTCAACCATAATTACATGTGACACCCCCATCAGCAGGAAGATGTAGGGGCTGCAAGCTCCAAGCTCGGGAACAGTGCAGGGAAGATTGGCTTCTCCTGGGAAGGGAGGCACAGGGGAGGTTATTTTTAGCGCTTGGAAAAAAAAAGCTCGAATTTAAGCACTCTTCGCTTCGATCCCCTTATTCTGGGAGAGATCAGCGGGGGGGGGGGGGGGGGGGGGGGGGAAGAGGTGGCATGTGAAGAAAAGCAAAACGGGGCTGTGAAGGCGGCGGGATGGGGCAGCGGAGGCCGCGCTCGGCAGCCCGGGGCCGGGGGAGACACGGGCCCCCCGCCGCGCCCCCCGCCGCCCCCGGCCCGCCCCGGCCCCGGGCTGCCGAGCGCCCGGTGGCAGCCGGCAGAGCTCCCCCGTCTCGGCTCCGTTGTCGCGGCGGTATTTATAGCGCAGGCACTTCCAGCCGTGCCGAGGCAGCCGCCCCTCGGTCTCGGCGTGTGCCTGTCTCTGCCACGAGCGCGCCGCGGTCGCGGGCTGCCGAGAAAGTGAGCGGGGTCCGGCGGGGCGGCCCCGGGCCCTCCCTCCGCGGCTTTCCGAGCCCCGGGCGCACCGGAACGAGGCCTTTTTAGGGCAGGCGGGGCGGGGCCGGATCCTCGCCTTTTTAGGCCAAGGGCCCCGCCACCGGAATCCCCCCCCTGGGCGGCGGCGGGCGGCGGGGCGCTGGCGGCGGCCCCCGGGGGGCCGAGCGGGGCCGGGGCCGGGGCCGCCCCCGCGGGGCGCGCGCGGGGCGCGGCGGGGCCGGGGCGGGCGCGGGGTGGGCGCGGGGTGGCGGGGCCGCACGCGGGCGCCCACGTGACCGCCGGGCCCCGTTCCCCAGTCCTTATATGGGCAGTGACGTCCCGGGCATTGAGGGGGCCCCCATAAATAGTTACCGCCAGACTTGTCCTCCAGCGCGAGCGGCGGCGGGAGCGCGGCTCTCCCGGGGCACCGCCGCGCCGCGACGGGGCGGCCGCCCGCCCGCCCGCACATGCCCGCTCCGCGCCGGCTCCGCGCCGTTCCCCCGCGCCGGTAGCGGGAGGCAGGGGAGAGCCCCGGCCCCCCGGCGCCCCCCGTCCCCGCCCCGAGCGCCCGCCGCCGGCCGGGAGCGTCGCTCCCCGCGCCGCCCGCCGCCCCCATGATGACCGCCAAGGCGGCGGACAAGATCCCGGTGACCCTCGGCGGGTTCGTGCACCAGCTCCCCGAGGGCATTTACCCCGCGGATGACATCTCCGCCGCGCTGCCAACTTCGGTCGCGATCTTCCCCAATGCCGACCTGGCGGGGCCGTTCGACCAGATGAGCGGGGTGGCTGCAGGTAAGCGGGGCCCGCGCAGGTGCGGGCCGGGCCGCCCGAGGGGGGCGGCGGGGCAGCGGGAGCCCGGGGAGGCGGCAGGCGGGGGTCGGGCCGGGCCGGCGGCCGCGGCCCCCTGGGGGGCTCGCCCGGCGCCCCTCGCGGCCGCGCCGCCTCCGCGCCCGGCTCGGGGGCGAAGCGGGGGCCGGCGGGGCGCAGCCCTCGCAGCCGGAGCGCGACATGTGCGCACCGCGGCCCCGCAGCCCTTAGCCCGGCCGGCCGGCGGCCGGGGCGGGCGGCGGGGCGCGGGGCTGATCGTCGCCTTGCCCCCCCAGACGGCATGATCAACGTGGACATGGGCGACAAGAGGGCCCTGGACCTGCCCTACGGCGGCGGCTTCGCGCCCGGCGCCCCGGCCTCCCGCAACCAGACCTTCACCTACATGGGCAAATTCTCCATCGACCCGCAGTACCCCGGCGCCGGCTGCTACCCCGAGGGCATCATCAACATCGTGAGCGCGGGCATCCTGCAGGGGGTCAGCGCGCCCTCCTCCGCCGCCTCCTCCGCCTCCTCCGCCGCCTCCTCCGCCTCCTCCTCGGCCACCGCCGCCTCCGCCGCCTCCGCCTCCCCCAACCCGCTGGCCGGGGCCCTGGGCTGCACCATGGCGCAGGGCCAGCCGGCCGACCTGGAGCACCTCTACTCGCCGCCGCCGCCGCCCTACTCGGGCTGCGGCGACCTGTACCCGCAGGACCCCTCCTCGGCTTTCCTGCCCGCCGCCGGCGGCGGGGCGCTGCCGTTCCCCCCGCCGCCCTCCTACCCCTCCCCGAAGGCGGCGGCGGCCGACGGCGGGCTCTTCACCATGATCCCCGAGTACGGCGGCTTCTTCCCGCCGCCCCAGTGCCAGCGGGAGCTGCACGCCGGCCCCGACCGCAAGCCCTTCCCCTGCCCGCTCGACTCGCTCCGCGTCCCGCCGCCCCTCACGCCGCTCTCCACCATCCGCAACTTCACCATGGGGGCGCCCCCGGCGGGCGCCGCCCCCGGCAGCGCCCCCGGCGGCGCCCCCGGCCCCGGCGGCGGCGGCCCCGGCCCCGGCGGGGGAGCGGAGGGCGCCCGGCTGCCCGGCGGCGCCTACAGCCCGCACCACCTGCCGCTGCGGCCCATCCTGCGGCCCCGCAAGTACCCCAACCGGCCCAGCAAGACGCCGGTGCACGAGCGGCCCTACCCCTGCCCCGCCGAGGGCTGCGACCGCCGCTTCTCCCGCTCCGACGAGCTCACCCGCCACATCCGCATCCACACGGGCCACAAGCCCTTCCAGTGCCGCATCTGCATGCGCAACTTCAGCCGCAGCGACCACCTCACCACCCACATCCGCACGCACACCGGCGAGAAGCCCTTCGCCTGCGACTTCTGCGGCAGGAAGTTCGCCCGCTCCGACGAGAGGAAGCGGCACACCAAGATCCACCTGCGCCAGAAGGAGCGCAAGGGAGCGGGAGCCTCCGCCGCCGGGGCCGGGACCGGGGCCGGGTGCCCGCAGCCCGGCGGCGGGAGCGGGGCCGCCCTGGCCCCCTGCGCGGCTCGGACGCGGACGCCCTGAGGGCGCGGGGCGCGCAGGAGCCAGCGCGGAGCCGCCGCCGCCCAGCGCGGCGGGGCGCGGGGCCCGGCGGGGCGCGGCGAGCACCCGGCGGCGCCGCGGGGGGCTCCCCGGGCCGAGCCGAGCCGAGCCGGGCCGCGTCGGGCCGGGCCGGGCCGGGGGGTGTACATAGGGGCTGCGGCGGGAGGATGGATGCATGCAGTGCCGTCGTGGTGAGGTGTCCTTGGTGCCTTGTGTGGTGTAGAGCCCGGTCCCCCGGCTGCATGCGGCGGGGTGCCTTACCGAGCCGCTCCGACGACAGCGGCGACGCCGAGACCGGAAAGTTTTCCCTCCCTGGTTTTAGTATGGCTGTACATTTCTGCCTATTAATATTGGGATTTTTTTTTTTAGAGACTATATTTTTGTACGCACTGGTTTGTTTTTGTTTTTGTTTTTTTCTCGGTGACTTAAAAGTGTTCCGTTTGTAGTAGGACTCCGCACGGGATGTAAATACTCGCGCTGGAGCCGCCGCCCGGCGTCCGGGCTGCGGAGCGCGGCAGCTAACACGAGTGATGCACAACCACTAACGGGAGCTCGCGGGAGAGGGGGGCTCTCCCCGGCCGCTCTGTAAATAAACTTTTCGACAGGAGGGTCGGTGCTTACAACGTTTCTAAGAGAAGACAAATAAATCTCTTAATTATGCTAACTTGACACCTTTCTTTCCGTAGCTCCCCGGTGCCCGGGGCTCGCCGGACCCCTGCGACCCGGGGCTGCGGGGCTGGCTGCGGGGTTGCGGAGCCGTGGGGCCGCGATGCTGGGGGGCTGCGATGCTGGGGGTTTGCGGAGCCGTGGGGCCGCGATGCTGGGGGGCTGCGATGCTGGGGGTTTGCGGAGCCGTGGGGCCGCGATGCTGCGGGGCCGCGATGCTGTGGGGCTGCGGGGCCGTCGGGGCGCCGCCGTGCGCTCCGCCTCCTCTCGGAAAAGCGGAGGCTCCGGCCCCGGCGCGCAAACAAGCGCTGCCGGCCGCGGGGATTTCCCTGCGAGACGCGAGTCGGGCTAATATTAACCGGGGAGCGGGGTGGGTTTTTTTGACTCACTCTGTTTTGTTCCGCGGCTGCCACCAGCCCGGGGCGGGCTCCCCGAGGGAGCGGCGGCTCCCGGCAGCGCGGGGCTGCGCGGCGGGGCCGGGGGCGGCGGCGCTCGCCCCCGCGGGGCCGGGCTTTTCCTCGGGCAGCGGCCCGGCCGCGTTTCGTGCGCGTTTTCGGCTTGCCTTTTTTTTCCCCTGTTTGCTCGTTAACCTTTCTGTAAGTTCTCGTTGAAGGTGCGGGCCCGCCCGGGGCTCGGCACCGACGTCCCGGTCGCCCTCAGCTCCGTCCCGGCGGCGCCCTCCTGTTCCGCCCGAAGCCCCCGGAGCCGGCGCTGGCTCCTGGAGCGTGGCAAAGGCCGAAGCGAAGGGGGCCGGGCACGGCGCGGCCCGGAGGAGCCAAGGAGCGGGGCCAGGGCCCTGCGGGAGACGCGGCCTCCTCGGTGGGCACCGGCTCCGGCGGGCCGTGGTAGCGGGGGTCGGCAGGGGATGCCGGGCCGCGGCCGGAGCAACGCCGGGCTCCCGGCTGCCCCGCGCACCGTGCGAGGCTCCGACCGACCGACGGCAGCCGTGCTGCGAGGCTAAGCCCCGGCCGGCAGCGAAACACCCAGCTCGGACACGAGATGAGAAAGGAATCCGCCAGCAACCGGCTATAGCAAGCGAACCGTGCGTCGTGGGATGGCACCGGCGTCCCCGACCCCGTGCCTTTGCTCTCCAGAACAAGGAGCTTCGCAACACCGCATGTGCCTGGATTTGTCTGCGGGGCAACGCGGGGAGATCAGGGCCGAGCACTCAGATTTAGGCGTTGCCTTCCGAAGAAAGGCCAAACGCGTGGCCTGGGCTGTTCTGCAGAAGAAAGTTGCGCTCTTTACCACATTTGGTTCAAGACTGTCATACTTGTGAAGGAAAGTAATGAGTGGTCAGTGGTGAGATATCCTGTATTTATTCTGTAATTCAGCAATAACAGTGATTTTGCTGTTGTGAAAACACAATAATCAGATTGCAGAGAGAAGGAACAGCGTTACAGACTCAAACCTTCTGCTTACAGATATCGAGAACATATGAAGTAAATTTCAATCACTGAGTAAGCAAGAAGTTACATAGAGGCTTTTCTTTAATGCATCTCAGGTTTTCTTTGCTATTTTCCCTGGCACTATGACTTTAATACTTTGATGCTAACACCTTTATTAAAAAAATAAAATAAAATTTTGCCACGACTGTTAACAGCACTCTGCAATGTAAGGGACCGTGCTGTCCTCTATGGAAAGATGCATTAAAGTCCTATCCCATTAAACATCTCGGCTAGATTTTACACATGGAAAAAGACTTAGAAACAAAAATAAAAAAAAGAGAGACCTAAGGGGGAGGATAGAGCAGACAACATCCAAAATCAAAATACTCTGTCACAGTTTGTTTTTCCAGTACAGCTGATTGCATGCAGCACACTGTCTTCTTTGTGGGCTTCTGAAAAGGGATGATGCTCTTCAGTAGCATTGGAGCAAGTGAGAAACACAGGCTGTGCCCTAGCGAGGCACTGCATTATAGTTAATGACGACGTTCGATAGAGAATTGTTGCACATTAACTAATGCTACGCTGCAGGGGAATTCCAGGAAAAACAGGTAAGCCAGCTGCAGAAATATCAGACACTTTAAAGTGCTGTAAGAGTAAATGGAAATTGCCTGAAATAATTTCCACCAATTTCTCCTTGCAAAAGAATGAATACGTGCATGCATAATGCTGACTGTATTTTGTGTTCATTCTTCATCAGTCCCTCTCCCCTTCCCCCCCAAAAAAAGTTAAAAAAACCACAATGCCATCACTTAAATCACTTAAAAATTCACACATACAAGCAACTGCACAGGAAAAACAAGTCTGCTTTTATAAATACACAAAGAAAAATGAAAGCCAGTTGTGGAACAGTTTCTGGAGCAGGTTGGTACATCACTTAGGAAGTTGGTTAAGTCGTGGTTTTTTATTCAAATTCCCACATTGTGACCGCGAGGGTGAAGGCTGCCCTGGCTGGGGTTTGTGGTACGAAGCGTGCTTTAGGGATAAACAGGCACAAGACCAATCCCTGCAGTATAAACGGAGTATGCCACCTATAGAAAAAGTTTCTCCCGTTAGAAAGAGCGCATCCCCTGTCGAGGACGAACTGGATGTCAAGGCTGCTTACACCATAGCAAGGCAAAATTCGCTGTGTGTCTTCTACGCTATGTTTATTTAAAAGCCTTATGAAAAAGTAATCTTTATAAATAGTATAAAGACGGAAACCGCAAGGCTTCCAAAGCCCAAAGTGTTCACTTGTCCATATAAAAACACAGACCACGTTTTAGAGAGAAGGTATCAGGTCAAATCTTATCTCAACCTAGGGTACGCATACTGCTGGATATGTAGGTTATCTGCAAAAAAGTAATGTCTCTAGTGTTCCACGAAGCACGTGTTCCATGAGGCAACAGTGGATAGTCTGTTTTTTTCTAAGGATGCCCATGTTTTCCGCTACTCTCGGCCACTGCCATATGAGAACTTCCAAGCAAGGTTAATTAGCAGCTGACTAGTCTCCTCCTGGCTGAAGGAAATATGCATAGAAACGCTCTGTAATTTCAGTTGTGACAGATGGATCTTACACACAGCACTTCAACGAACTGCTAAAAAGTAATTCTGAACCTGACGTTGTCCCTTCGGAGGGGGAGTTCACTTAACCACAACCCCAGGAACCATTGGTGTTTAGGGAGCATTTCCTGCCTCAAGAATTGTTCTGGTTTGTGTATTGTTTTGTTTTGCTTTTTTTTGCTAGTTCAGTCCAGCTCGTACTGAAACTCATTCTGGAGTCCCCAGCAGCCCAGCAGCGCGCAGCCCCAGTGCCTGTGGGCAGCGGGGACGCTCCGAGCAGGGCTCTTATTGCATCCACTCCCCGCCGCAGTCCGGTGCCCCCTTCACAGGCGCGTGGCCTCCGCTGTTTGCGCGGGACGGGTCGGGCCGGGCCGGGCCGGGGCGCCGCGTTACTGCTCCCCGGGCACTCAGCCGAGCAGGGAGGTGACCGCGCGCCGCTTCCATCACTTCACAGCTCCCGCGGGGCAACCAGCGGGGCCGCGCCCCCTCCTGCCCCGCGGGGGGCTCGGCGCCCTCGGGCCGGCCGCAGGGGGGGGCGGCCGCGGGGTCCCCTCAGGGTCCGGCCCGCGCCGCGCCGGGGGGGCGCCACCGGTCCCAACGCTCCCAACGCTCCTAACGGTCCTAACGGTCCCAACCGTCCCAGCGGCCACGGGGGCCCCGAGGGCCGGCGCGGCCGCCTCAGGGGCAGACGCGGGGCCCGGGGTAGGGCTCGCCCCCGCACCAGAAGTCGGCGGCCGGCGGGGTCTCGAGCAGCCAGACCTCCCGCGGCAGCTCGCAGCCGGGCGGCGGCCCCTCCAGCAGGCGGTAGTAGTGGCAGTCCCGGCCGTGCTCGGGGTCGTAGGGCGGCGCCAGGATGTCGAGGAAGGCGGCGGGCCCCTCCACCGCGTCGATCTGGTGCAGGTTGTCGCTGTGCGGCGACAGCAGGCAGGGCGGCGAGGCGGGCGTGTAGTGCTGGCGGGAGCGCAGCAGGGCCCGCAGGCACGGCCCCGGGCTGCCGGCGGCGGCGGCGGGCGGCGGCGAGGGGGCGGCGGCGGCGGCGTTGGGAGCGGCGGGGGGGGGCACGGCGTCCATGCAGGCGATGCGCAGCGTGCCGTACAGCACCTTGAGCATGCCGTTCATCCCCGGGTGGTCGTGCAGCGGGATGCAGGCGCCGCTGCGCAGCAGGAACACGCCCATGCTGAAGCTCTCCGTCTCGCAGATGTGCATGTAGCTGACGGGCGGCACCGCGCCGCCCCGCGGGCACCCCGCGCCCGACACCGGCGCCGGCCCCCGCGGGGCCAAGTGCAAGTCCTCGGCGCGCACCTCGTCCAGCAGCTGCTGCAGCCGGTGCAGGTTCTCCCCGAAGGCCGGCCCCGCCGCCGCCGGGCTGCGGAACGTGATGCGCGCCTGCCGCGCCACCCGCTGGATCAGCGAGGCCATGTTGTCCCGGGGCATGGCGCCGCGCGGCCCCGCTCCCCTTCCCCTGCCCGGCCCCGCCGCTCCCGGCCGCGGCAGGCGGGCCCCGCCGCTTCCTCCCGCGGCCGCCCCGCCGCGCAGGCGCGCCCCCGCCCCCGGCGCCGTGCACCACGGGGCTGGTAGTCCCGCCCGCGCCGCCCCGCTGCCCCCGCGCAGCCCCGCGCCGCCCCGCCGCGCCTCAGCGCCCCCGCCGCGCCTCAGCGAGCCGCGGGGACCCGCCCGGGGCCGGCTGCGGGGCGGGCGGCGGCGCGGGGCCGGGCCCGGCGGGCGGCGGCGCGGGGAGCGGGACTACGGCTCCCGGCGGCCCCCGGCGGCCCCCGGCCGAGGTGAGCGGCCGCCGCTGGGGGCTGCGCGCCGCGGGGCGAGGGGCGGCGGGGCCGGGCCGGGCAGGGCCGGGCAGGGCCGGCGGGACCGCCCGCGGCCGCCATCTTAGGGCGCTGAGGGGGCCCCGTGAGGGGAGCGGCTCCGGCGGCCGCGGCCTCGGCACGGGCAGGGGCAGGGGCAGGGGCAGGGGCAGGGCCCGGCAGCTCCCGGCCCCGCCGTGCCCGGTGAAGCCCCGTGGCCGCCTCACGGGCCGCGCCGGGCAGCACACGCCTGTCCCGGCCGAGCCGCCCTGTCACAGCGACCAGATCTGAGGCAGCTTTCTGGCAGCGCCGCGCCTGCCAGTGTCGGTGCGGTGTCGTCCCGAACAGCGAGCGGTGCCTTCGCGTTTGGTGTATCTGAATTAAATTATCTCTTAGCCACGGATGAACATGGAGCAGGCACGTGGGGTGCCACACGCTGGTCCCCAGAGCCCCACGTGTGACAGAAGGGATGGAGGGGCCGGCTGAGCTCCAGCGTGCTGGGGGCTGCCCGTGGTAGTTCCAGGCTGGTGTACATGAGGGGCACAGCGTTTGTTGTGCTGGGGCAGCACACACAGCCTTGCATTTTCTGCTTGTGTGTCAGTGGCTGGCAAGGCTTGTATTACCCCCTTATCTGTTCACATGACTGCGTGCCCAGGAAGTACAGTGATTCTTGAAGTCAGAAATTAACCCATTAATATTGGGATTTATTCAACAGAATTAGGTGCTCATCACAAGAATGGACAGGCTTATACCACCTTGAGTCCAGTTATTCATACAGGTGTTCAGCACCTCAGTACTCTCATAGTCTGGGCCCAGCTGGTTATGACTGAAAAAGAGCTGAATGATGATTCCACATTGGGTAGGACTCCAGTGGCTGCAGCCCACCAAGTTCAATAATTTCATGTGAAGATGAGGTAAACCAGTGTATTTTCTGGGTTAAAGGCAAACTAAAGTTGTAAGATGTGCATTAAACTTACGAAACGTGCGTGGAATGTTCTTGCATATAATGCAGGCTTCTGATGGCCTAGCAAAAGATGAAATAATGATACTTTAAACATAGATCGGTGATTTGAAACGCTCTTCCCTAACTTATTTTGTGCCTTCTATAAATGTTTGGTGCACAGATTGCAAATTTAGGTCATGGCATAATTGCTTCCTCTTCATAGAGGAGGATGCTCATTCGAGTTGCTAGATTTGAGTTCCACCCCAGTCTATAAGCATTGTGATATTCAGCTGTTCCATGTTCAGACAAAGGTATTTTTAAATACTTTCAACCCCCCAGTGTCAGCGTTGGAAGCACAGGGTGAAGATCAGGAGAGTATTTCTATACCTGGCAGGATATTTGGGATAAGGGGACAGACATCTATATCTTGAAGTGAGAGGCAGAGTCGGGCTTCTGTGGCATATGACTACGGGAGTGAGCTGCTGAGGGTGGTGACAGCCTCTCCACAGCTGCATTCATTGGCAAGTGGAATTACGACAGAAACCAAGGGATTTGGAAGTCTCCATGTGTAGTCTGCTCTTCTAATTGAGCCCTCTTTGCAGGGCCAATCAATTTCAGTATGGAGGTATGGATTGGAATTTTTGGCAGTTATTAGGGTAACAATAAATTATCAGATTGCTAGAATGCTTACTTTTGAACACACTGGCTCTTTTCCTGTGCAGCACAAAAATAAACCATTTTGTGGAAACAGAAACGCTGGGTGTTGGTAGGATGCTGGGTGCTTTTGTAATATGCCATTGTAAGCGAGACCAGCATGGAAATAAGAGCACCCTGAGTTCTGATCTCAGCCAGATCTTGACTTGCTGGGTTTTACTAGGTGAATTACTTGACCCTTTAGTACTTATTGCTCTGTAAACCATGAATCCCACATGCTGTGTACAAGGTTGTTTATTAAAATTTAAAAAGATCTTAAGAACATCTTTATGTGAACATTCCCAGTGCCATTTTACACTGGTGATGAGCTTTATGTTTTGCATAACTGATCACCTTACAGTCCCCAATGTTTTTAACTACTGTATTGGTTTCCTTTTCTAACAGATAACAGACAAAAATACGTCTTTGGCACTTAATGTTCCAGTTAAATGTTATATCACACCCACATTTTTAAGTGCAGTAATATATATAAGAAAATAGATAAGAAAAAAAAAACAACACGCACTTAAAAGCAAGCTGTCCAACCAACTAAAAATTAAATTGACATTTTTTTTAATTTCCTTTTTTTTTTTTTTTTTTTTTTTTTTTTTGGACGGGTATATCCTTAACCAACATCTACCATCTTGAATGTATGGGAAGGAAAAAACAACAGTGTAGTCTGCTTGTCTGGGCTTTGCGACTGCTTTGTGTCGGTGATGCAATGACCAAAGTTCAGCCCAGTGATTTTGCGATAAAACCAGTATGAGTGAGGTCAGAGTCAGGCTACAGTTTTAGTCTCTTGCTGTGTTTGTTGTTTTTTCCCCCCACACAGAGTGTGTTGAGAACTGTTAACAGCTATTTTCTCTCCATCCCCTCTCCACTACTAAGTTTCTCTCCTTTTTTCTACCTGAACTCTCCTGTGGAACTGAATTTTTTAGCTTCTTGCTTCTCTGTTACTTTTATGTATTACAGTGTTCCCCAAAGTCTGTGAAATACACCAAGCTCATTTTCACTTTCTTCTAGGGGTTGCTTCCCAGGTCCTCTTAATTTGTTTTGAGAAGTTAGAGTTGCCTGTAATCGTTGGGTAAACCAACAGTCTTGAACGGACAACAGTGACAACCGCCTAATTAGAAGGTGAGTTGTGAGCTGTAATTTAATGTTGTATCACGATGCTGGAATATTTCACAAGGTGTAGAACCTGGACAGGCTGTGCAGAAACCATCTTCTGTTAGCATGTTGCCCACCACTGCAAAGGTGTGTTTACATAGAACAGAAAATAAGACTGTGTCAAAGAACATCCTTTTTGCACTGTTGATGCCACCAATTCTGCAAAGGTATGTGTTTCTTTACTTTTATAGCTACCACCAATCAAAGAGAGAGATACAAATGCTAGCCAAACGCAATTCAGATGAGAACAAGGCTCAAAAGAAAGAAGACAAACATGTCTGTAATATTTGCTGTCTCTTCAGTAATGGCTTACGTAAAAGAAAGTTGGTTATCAATTATTCATCAGAGAATTTTTAGATATCAGTAGAAACACAGAGGAGTGCTAGATATAACTGTACTGAAATCAAAAGGGGAATTAGGTTCATATATATACCAAACTTCAAGCAGATCTATGTAACATTAAGACTCCCACCCACCTTTACCATTTCTTTACTGACACATATCCTGTATTCCATTAACCACGTAATTCACCCCTTGTTGCAACTCTTCATTTGTTGCAGCCTCTCAGTTAGATGCACTACTTCTATATAAAGCACATCATTAATGAGTTTTATTGACAGGTTGCTACTGAACAGCCTAGAGCAGGAGTTGGAGTGACTCAGAGTAGGAAAGGCTGTGCAGCATACAACTCCCCGTGCATGAATTTGCAGAGATAATGAACCTCATCCTGCTCTTCTGAGCTTAGCTCCACTGATTTTGTGGTTTCCACTGGTGCAGATCAGATCTGTGCTGGTGTCTCTTCTGACTATGCCCAGGTTAGATTGTGGCGATGGGTACTGCGAGTTAGTCATGGCCTTATTCCTTCTGAACTCTCTGACTGTCTGGGACCAATGCTGCATATGAGGAAGGAGACATTTACCAGTGTAGTTAGAAACTGCTTTCCCTTCAGGTGCTCTCTTGTTGGCATTTAGTTTGCGTGAAGATTTAGTTTGCATGAGCTGCTTGTGTGGTGGCACCGACCTGCTGCAGCTGTGGAGCTGCGGGATACTTTTGCCAGTTGTATGCAGCCGTGACAACAGAGAGAGGGGGGAAAATCCACCAGTGGCTGTGGAAAGAGTTATCCTATGACATTTCTAAGTTTCATGCATCTTGAATGTTCTTGAAAATAATCTAATCATATAACTTGGGATAAATATGACTTCTAAGTCTAAAACTTAAAAATATATCCAAAGAATATTGCTGAACTGTCTACAATACCGGGTGCTCAGGAATGGGCAGGAATGTAAAAAGACATTTTTTGATAGTTACTTAGATGAAAGAAACCCACAGCTCAATTTGCAGGTGTAATTCTGAGTCCAAAAGGAGCCGTATCATCGCTCTTATTACTGGCATAACTTTCAAAACAAAATATTGACAGAAGATGTGTAGATACTAGGTTATGGAGAATGTAATGAGAAACAAATGGGAATCACTTAAGATTTTATATTATATTGGTTAAACTAAAAATGTAGAGAACATAATTTGGACTATCACTTTTAGTCTTTTAACTGACAGAAATGGGCAGAAGAGACACAGCTAAAAATGAGGTGTGTTTGCTCATGATTTCTTTCTTGCTTATTTTTATATCTGGTTGTATTAAAATAATTTTGTAATTATTTTACATAAACACATTCAAAAGCTGCAGAATGCATGGGGTTTGTATCATTTTATTGATATAAGCTAATTTCAATGCTGTTTAAACTTGTTGGGAAAGTTGAAATCTGTTTTCCCGAGATATTTGATACGGAATGAAAGTCATTCTTGGCTGTAGTCCTGACACTTCGTTAGCACGAGGGGCTTATCCTATCTGGAAGATCCTGGTCTTGAGTTTGGGCCGTGAAGCGTGGTTGAATTGCTCGCAGAGAAGGGGAGCACCAGCATGCGTCCTGTTGTGGCAGGTACATGTAGTGAGTGTGGGGTCCTGCGTCACAGCCGAGTGCTGCTCCAGGCATGCTGGGGAGGAAGGAACCACGCAGTGCTCGCTGCCACCAGCCCTGTGCAGTTCCACAGCTCAGAGCAGGGCCTCTCCACCGTTTCTGAAACCACATCCCATAGATCCGTTGAACTCTTTCACCATCACTGGCTGCCAGACCCACAAGGCCCCCCCGGCCGTTGTTACATCAGTGCCAAACTCCACTTCGTTTTTCCTCTCTGTGACTTTTTCGGAGGATCCCGAGGGTCCTGTTTGGTTGCTCAGTCAGAGAGCGGAGGGTGGGAGAAAGCTTGCAAGGTCACCTCTGTTTGGAAGCAGCTCCCTTGGCCTTCAGCCCTCCCCTCGGCAGCTGACTTTCAAATGGCAAGAGAAGGTTTTGTTCGTATGACCCAGGGGAAGGGCTCACTCCGCAGACAGAGACGCTGCCGAGTCTCGTCATCCGGCAGTAAGGAGGAAAGCTGCTCTGCAAGGAAAGCCTTGTGTTCCTCAGCCCGTGTCTGTTCCTCCCATTATCACTTACTGCAGTGCCATGTTTGCTTTCGCCTGCTTTGAGATAATGTGCATTATTTAAGCACTTCTGTATTAGCGCAGGGTGTGATTCTGTGCTGTTGGAGATTGAGTTTGAAGTAGATAATTTACCAGCTCAGGGGTCCCGGAGGGTACTGGGTGTGGGTCTGCCATTGCTTGTGACACCTGAGGTAGTGATCGCAGGCCAACTTTTTGGCACGGTTACTATCAAGGACTAAAGTTATCCTATTTCTGTGGCTTAAAGGGTTACTGCTGTGCAGCTGAGTCATTGTAACCTGTTTGGTGCTCAACGGTAGCCTTCCCTCCCTGCCAAAAATGCTTTAGCACAGACTATCTTTAAGCTGAGCCCTTCTATTTCACAATCCCAGGGTGAGGACTGGGTACGGTCATCACACAGGTGATAAGCAGTAATGCATGAAGCCACAGTAACTTGATCGCTCTTGCTTATACAACTGGTCTGTAATACATTACTTGGAGTCTGTTCTCAGTGTGAGAGGGAAATTTGTTGTTTCTGATGTGATTTCAGGATCAAATCTATCCCAGTGAAGATCTCTGCAGGGTTAAGCAATTGTGCTAAATTTAAGAAGGAAAGAATAAGTCACATTTGGGGAATAGCCAAGGAATCTTTTTCTATTTTAAATAAAAAATAGGTATATTTTTTCATGGAAAACCTTTGTGTTCAGTAGAAAAAGAAATGAGTGGTAAATTGTAGCAGGTAAGGTATTTAGTGGGATAGGAAAATTTTTTTCAATGTTTTTAGGATTTTGGCATGTTTAGGTTAATCAGTCAGTTTTCACTTTAGCTTTATGCCTGTCAGTTACACACCACTTCTGCTCTGTGCTGCCATACGCGTTTGTGTATCTTCATGTGATTGAGGGAAAAAAATGTTGCCAGTGTATAAAGGGAAATTAGTTCAGATATTTAGTATCTAGATTTCACTTTTTCATTTCACAGCATGGTAGCAAATGTGTGTCAGATTTTTCTTAGAAAATTAGGATGCATTCCAGCAGAAACTGATGCACAGGCTCAGCTTCTCCTGAAAAATAGCTGTCACCATTCCCCATAGCTAAGTGTTTGGAGTTTGCAGGATCAGGGCCTACCAAGCCTCACATCTCTCTTATGGTTCTTTTTTTTTTTTTTTTTTCCCTTTCTTTCTCTTCCAGGAAAACAAAACTCTCTCTCGTGTCTCCATGTTAACACGACTGGAAATTGAACGTAGGGGGATCTAGCATGTGATTACTCTTTTTAGACAGGATTTTCTTCATAGCTGAATTGGACCGAGTCCTTTTTCTCCCAAACCAGATGGTAAGTGATTCAGTACTTTTAGCAGTAGAAAAATGATTTGTTTTCTTTCCCCAGTAGTTGGTGTGAATGTACTTTTCTTTATCTATTTACATATTATGTAAACACACTTTACCAGCATTTATGTACATAGTTTACAGTCCTAATCCTGCAAAGAGCCCTGTATAGGCAAGGCCTTGCACATACCAGGGGTTGACATTGCTTATAGTGAACTGTTTGCATGGAACTCAAGGCAGCATCGTAACTGTATTTGTATTTTTATGTATACACTAACATTTATGACTGTATGAGGATGCAAACAGAGCCATAAGCCCACAAAAACTTGAGTAACTTCGTGCACTTTACTTTTTTCACCTAACAAAGCCTTTGAGGATGCCCTTGATCTCTTCTGTCTTCCTGTGGTAGGTTGTAGTTCTTGTGACTCCCAAGTTAAAGCTAAAAGCTTTGGCCTTATTATAGAGTGTTAGGGTGAGTTCCTGCTGGTGTGCAGGGGTAATAAGGGCCTCATTCGCATACCTTTTGGACTGAGCTTCTACTAATGCTACTGGGGGGGCTCAGCCCAGAGTGTCTTCTATCCTGCTGCTCCTGCCTGGAGGCAGAAAAGCAACACTGAGAAGGAATTCCATTAATGGTGAGACATATTTGAGGGTGTATTAAAGATCTCATTTTACATACATACCTGATTTCTCGAGGTCAATCACGTCCATGTTTGTACATGTATATGTATACTGTTAAAACTGAGTGCTAAATGTGGGGCAATTTCTTGTTTTGTGCTGGATAGAGCATGTGTGTAAACCATATATATGTCACGTCTGAGTATGGATATTTGAGGCAGAACAGAAGGATCTGAAGCTGATCGCATACTACAGTGTAGGGAAATGGTGTGTTACAGTATCGAGGTGCTGATTCCTTATACAAGCAGGTACAAGCAAGGTTGCCCAAGCAGCCTGACGCCTGTCCTTTCCAAGCAGATAAGAGTTGTTTTTGTAAGTTTGATGTGCTTTTACCCTAGCTTTGTCTGATAATTACAGTATTGAATTCAGAGTCATGCTTCTGCTCTACTGAGATGACAATTCTCCACTTCAAAAATAGCGGCCAGTTTCTCTGTTTACGAATCTGTCTGTACAGAGCTGGAATGTGATTATCCGATTCTCCTGGTTCTCACCTCATCTACACTCACTTCAGTTGGGTCACTTGGGGTTCATGCACGGAGAAGCCCTTACCTTGTTTCCCAGGTTTACCCGAGAGCTAAAACACAGATCTTAACATCTCCCACTTGAAAAATGTGACATTCTTCCGCTTCCATGAATTACAGTGGGGGAAGAAAAAAGACATATGCATTTGCATTGGGAGTATCATGCTATGACTTATCAAGTTTTTCTCCTTAATTAGATTATCATTTAGTGGAAGGGTGGCAGAAGAGGACCCTTGGTGTTTTTTTTGTTTTTTTTTTTGACAGGCATCAATAACCAAGTTGGGGTGATTTAGTGTCTCAATCTGTAATAGCTTACTTTTCCCTTTGTACAACAGGAAGCATTTGGGGGCGTTTGCCTCTTGAAGTACGTGGCTGTTGATGTGGTTCTGCAAGGGGGCAGAAAATGTGCACCTGCCAAAGGGCAGACAGTCCTGCTGGGTGCTGCTGCGTGGGGTGGCCTCTGAATCCCTCTGAGGTCAGGCAGTGTGCCGGGAGGAACACGGGCTTATTTGGCCACCATTCTCTATGTTTCATTTGACCAGCATTGGTGGCTTCATTCGACCAGCATTGGCTATGTTTCGTGCAGAGAGCTGCAACTCTTGACACACCTCATCCCAGTCATGAACAGTCTCATGTCTTTATAGCTGGGAATTGCTTTATTACGGTACCAGAGGGAAATAAAGGCACCAAGCACTGGGTATGAGTTTGTAAACACTGTACCTGTAAAGGAGCAGAACAATAACTCCTGCCCCAGCTGCCGTGGGCACGCAGGGGAGTGCTGTTAGGATTTCTGGTCTTCAGACAGCTGTGCTCTTGTGCACATTGTGGTTGCCCCCTTACCTGCAGCAGGGCTCTTGCTGCCTGGTGGGATCTTCCTGGAGTGCCTCTGCACCGAGCCACCTGTCCTTTGCTAGCAGATGTTGCACAGGGCACAACACCATGCCTGGGAGTGTGGCAGTGGTCATGATGTGTGTAGGAAGTGAAGGGAGTCCAGGAGAACTAAGCTGGGTGATCTGTTCGGTCAGGGTGCCTTCAGCAGTGAGGCTGTGAAGAAATGGGGTCAGAGACTGGTTATCTGTTACCTCCTGTGAGCCCCTGTGAGTGCCTGTGGAGAAAACTTGGCTCAAAGCTTGAGGACTAAGTAATTGCTGGAAGCTCTAGGTTACTCAGGACATAAGCATATATTTACAAGCACTGGAAGTACTGAAGAGTGTTTCTTCTGGTTTCAGTTAATAACAGGGCACGTTGTGTACAGTTTGTTTGCTGGATAGGTTCATTTTATTGTCTGTAAATACACTGAAGAAACAATTTTGTCTTTTGTTCAGTGTTACCCAGCTGGCGTGTTTCTTGTAAATCAAATGAAGTAAGGGGAATAAGTAGCCTGCTCTTGTCTGTATGGGAAACAAGAAGCATTTAAAATAAGGGCCTCGTACAACTCCCCAGGAGTTAGAAGGGCTGAGCAAGGAGACAGCGTGTGCCACAGAGCACAAGATCTCCAATCCACCTGCTCTGCAGACAGGGCAAGTGGCTGCTGAGGGCAGTCACCTCTGTGCAGAAGCAGCCTGATCGAGTTCTGCCCTCCCGTGTGCAGCACAGGGCTCGGCAGCTCGCTGCTTGCAGTGCAAGCATTGTGGTTTAGCACTAGGGCAAAAGAGAGCAGAGCCTGGCCAACTGATAATAGCTTTTTGTATTTGAGACTGAAAGGAAGGATTAAGAATAAAGTGGCTGTGTATGCAAATAATTGTGTAAGTGTGACTCCTAAGTGACTTATAAAAGGCAAACTCATTATTTAATTGTTAGAAATACAAACTGTTTGGCACAAATGTTCGGGTTTGGCTGAGCTGTACTTGACCCGTGAGAGAGCAAAGGTGATTTTAAGTCCTGGGATCCAAGGGGCCAGTCTGTAATGTAACTAATGTAAGGCAGAGTCAGTGCATTAGCTGCTTTGTAATTGCAGATTTTTATTTTGTGTACAGAACCAGTTGATTCATTATCTCTTGTTTCCATTATCTAATCCCAATCTTTATGTGTGAACCTGAGCTATTTTACTTCCAGGGTGGCATATGATTAGAATGAAAGAAATGTTTGATAAGAACAAATTGGTTCTAATGTAACCAAAATGATAAAATTGGTTAAATCTGTGTGCAGAATCTGAAAACTTCACAAGAAGCACGAGTTGAAAATAACCTTTCTTCTGTTCTACTGTAGGCCCTTCGTTTCTTGCAATATTTTGCCCTTGGAACAGGGACAGTTTGGATCCTAGAACATAAAAGAAGATTGCAAGCAATCATGTTTCTGTAGCGTAACACTTTGTCACTCCTCAACTAAGCTTTAGGAACCAGCTGTAGGGACTCTGCTGTCACGTCCTGTGGTAAAATGACACCTGTTAGCTTATTCCATCTTCATGTTGTTAAACTCTTCAACTGTGGTAGTATCACTGCAAGTTATCAGCTGTACTTGTGCCTAGAATTGTGTTCATCCCATTCTCTGCAAGCAGAGAACATATTTCCTGAGGCCAACATTTAAAAATGCTTTCACCTTTCAAAGAGCCTCCAGAATTTGAGAATTTGATGAAGTAAATTTTATTTGTGCAACCTTTTTTTTTTTCCCTTCCTTCCTTCCTTTTTTTTTTTTTTTTTTTCTCTTTTTGGTCTTTCTATCATGTCAAACTGACAGCTGGTTTAAATCCAGATGATGTGGGGAGATGTTGAATTTTGCTGGGACATAAATGTGAGCCCAGAGTGAATGGGGTATGTATGGAAATACTTCCTGGCAGAAGTTGCACTGGTTGAGAGTCAGAAGCTTGCATCCAGTTGACATCACTGGAAGATGCACATGCAAAGTGAAAGCACTATGTGGCCTTTAAGCTTCTGTTCCTGTGGTACGTGAGGTTTGCTATTACACAGAAGATTGAACCATTCACTTTTCTGGGTAACTGAGATAAAATGGTTATCTCTGATCAATTTCTGTCTGGGGTATCCCTCCATGACTTCAAGAAAGTGCTGTGTGTGTGCAACAGGGAGACTATTGGAATGGAAACCCTAATACAGGAATGATTAATTGATGATACTTGATAATTTTTTAAAAGATGAGTACCCTAGTTGCTGCTTATCCAGGTCATAGTAATAACTTGAAGGAATATATTCACTAACATGAAATGTTCTCTAAACTGCTTGCTAACAGGTTACTTATGCTTGTCTGCTCCAAACACAGTACCTATTTTCCTAAGCCGAACTGGCAATTAAGTTTTCTTCTTACTTATGTATACCAAAAGTTACTGTGAGCATGGTGGGACTGCACTGATGTTAAATGAATGTCACCAGTGGAAAATCAGGCCCAGTGCTTTTTTCTGTGTTTGGCAAAAGGAAGGGGCATTTCCATTTTCCATTGCTGATTGAGTTCCCCTATGATCTTATCTAACATACAGGAACACTGAAACTGCATCAAGTATGTATTCTCCCTCGTGCCCTACCACACAGAAAAATCACACTATCAAGTTCCCCATTTGAGTGTGTGAGGAGAAGCATATTTCCTGTCTCCTCCCTTTGACTGCTTCGTCCTTCTAGATTTGGGCTCTCTGGGACAGAGCTGTCTGTCACCGCGTGCGAGGCTGTGAGTGCTGCTGTGCTGGAGAGAGCCAGCTCCCGTTGCAGTCTGCTCCTTGGGCGTTTCTTCGAGGGCTGAGTTAGAAGGCTGGTGGGTGGCTTGCTTACTTCTCTAGGGGAAGCCAGTGAAGCGGGTGGGCTGCGTGAGTTCTGCTTCACTCTGCTTGGCACTGAGCGTGACTGGGTACATCAGAAATCCCAGA